ATATATATGTATATATATATATATATATATATATATAGACACACACAATATTTATACACATTATGTAAATATAATTTTTTTTAATTTTTGGGATACAATTAATCATTTGACAACACATTTTTACGTATATTTTATATTCTGACTACTTTCAAGACAACATTAGTCAGTTATTGTAAATGTTTTTATTGACATTATATTGTTTGCATGATGAAATTTACCTGTTTTAGCCATTGATGCTGACATAATGATATATGATAAACAAATTCGTAAATATTTTAGTATGTTAAATTCAAATAAAATGAGACAGGTTACCTTAATTTCAAGTCAAAAATTCAATAGATTTTTTATCATTGTAAATCTTTTTGTACATTTTCTCTTTCATAAAACACACATTTTCTACTAATTTCATTACAATTCATCTGGCTTTACAGAAATTCTCATCCTGAAGGAAGTGTTTCAGCTCGCAAGTGATGGTAAGCATCATTTATGCCAAAAACAAACGTATGATAATGCAACCACTACTCATTTGTGGCTGGATTAAGTTAAAAACTTTTTTCTTGTTCAGATCACGATGCTGCCGTACACAGATACAGTCGTCTGTCGAAGCGGAAGGAGAATGAGAAGGTGTGTGTGTGTTTGGTTATGATATTTTACAATGTATGATTGACACCTGCTTCATTTCCATGTCGCTCTACAGACCAGATACTGAGTTTATTGCTGAAAATCTGTGTGTGTGTGTGTGTGTGTGTGTGTGTGTGTGTGTGTTTTATTATTTTATTTGTTTTATTATTGTTCCTCATTTAATTAAACACACAGAGCTTATGTTACTCTGAGATGCTCAGGTCATACCTGTGTCCTTGTGGGTGACTAAACATAAGGAAAATTTTACACAAATATTCACTCCAATACAGCAGATAATAATGAAATTCAATGTATTTGCAGCTCTGATTAAAATGAAGAGACATCTGAGTCTGCAAGTAATTCATTTTTATAAGATATAAATGGATGGATGGATAGATGGATAGATGGATAGATGGATGGATGGATGGATGGATGGATGGATGGATGGATGGATGGATGGATGGATGGATAGACGGACGAACAGACAGACAGACAGACAGACAGACAGACAGACAGACAGACAGACAGACAGACAGACAGACAGATAGATAGATAGATAGATAGATAGATAGATAGATAGATAGATAGATAGATAGATAGATAGAAAGATAGATAGATAGATAGATAGATAGATAGATAGATAGATAGATAGATGGATGGATGGATGGATGGATGGATGGATGGATAGATAGATGAGCAAATCACACTTGTAGCAGTGCGATATGGCTGTATATCGGCACGGGTGGGAGGTGTGCGTTGACTTAGTGTCCCACCAGTGGCAATATACAGCCATGTTGCACTGTTAGGAGTGTGATATTGCGTTTATACAACATTTTGACGACACAATTGTGTATATAAAAAAGAAAATCAAACACGGAGAGTCTAAAAAAACTTATAAAAAACGTGTATTTTCATAGATTTTTATTATAACTGTTTTCTTATTTATTTACAGTTTAAGTATATTTTATATGCTGACTATTAAGACAAAATTGGTATATTATTGTAAATTATTTTATTGGAATTATATGTTTTGCATGAGGAAATTGATCTGTCTTGTAATAAAATTTAAGTTCTTAATCGAAAATTAAAAATCATGTTTAAATTTTTTACATAACATTTAAAGTTAATTATTTTTTTCATATTGATGTATGAAGTTGTTATTATCACCTAATATGTTTCTTATCTATAATGAGCTCGCCATAAAATAACCATTAACATTCTTGATGTGACAAAAAAACTGAACAAACATATGAGCTGTTATTAAACGCAGACACTGTCATCTGCAGGTGAAGAATGAAGTGATGGAGGATGTTTACACGTCCAGAAAGAAGCAGCACGAGACCACAATGCACTACTTTGCGTCTCTCAATATGCTGCAATATAAGAAGAAGATCGCTCTGCTGGAGCCGCTACTGGGATATATGCAGGCGCAGGTGACACACATACAGTACTGCTGATATCTCAGTCATAAGAATACAGTCTGATAACATGCAGACGCTTTACTGGCTGTTCATTGTTTGCTCTTCAACAGATCAGTTTCTTCAAACTGGGATCTGAGAATCTGACGCAGCAGTGGGAGGATTTCCTTACTAATATTGGCACCAGCGTGCAGAAGTGAGTGCTTTTATTATTGCAGAAATCTAAAGCTATTTAAGTTATTAATTTGTAATAAATATAAAAAGGTATTATGTATTTTAAAACTGTATTTATTATATATATATATA